CCCCCAGAAGGATCTTTGCGAACAGGACACTCCTCACTTTTGTTTTTGCCTCATTGTGACCTCATCAGATTGCCCAACTCGAGCTTGAAGATTCAAATCAAATTAATGAATGACTTTTGCACCTCAGAGTGTAGAAACCAGGAGCGGACAATGTTTGTTCGAGTGCTGCTTTTTGAAGTAGACCAAAATAATTAAGTGACGGTAGTTTTGCCTGATGATGAGTATTTTGCAGGAGTAAGCAGGACATCCTCTAAATTAATTAGATATAAAGCAGGCAATTATGGGGAATGAAATTGCTATGGGAATGTTTTTGTTTCTACTTATATTATGTGGTTTCAAGCTCAACAAATAATTTCATTTCATCTAAACCCATATATATTTTAAGGAATTTCCTTAATAACCTCAGCTTTTACTTTATATATTTTCACTTTTTCTAAAAGGCACATTTCATTGGCATTTCTGTGCAGTCCATTAGGATTTTGTTTTTAAGGCACTTTACATTTCTGTGTAACCTTTAGCATCCTTTTTCCTTTTGAAGCCTGCCACAAATATGTTTTGTGCAGCAAGTAAAGTGATTGTTCAACACAAAATTGTAATTATTTTATTTTGGCATTTTGCTCATCCCTCAGCATATCCTTTTGTTTATTTTTTGCCACATCCTTGTTTTAGTTGGCTTTATTTGTGTCACCCACATAATGTATTTAGTATATTATATGCTGATAAAATAAAAAGCTTTTAATTTTGGCAATTTATTAATGAGCTTTTTGCCATAGAAAATGCATTAATTTGTTCGCTATCTCTCCCATGCGTGTGTGCGTGTGTTTTTGTTTGTTTTATGTGCCTTATTATTTATTGCTAAAACGCATTAAAATTGAAACGGAGCGGGCGGACGGGATTATTTATTTGGTTGCTGTTGGCTGCCATTAACTGACAAATTTTCACTAATTGCATTGCATTAATAAACTCAACTGTAACACAAACACAGAAAAAAAATCAACTGCGGGTAAAAAAACATGTCCCAGGACTGTGAATTATTGCCGATGATGGAAAATTCTGTCTAATTGCAACTGCAATGGCCCTGGCTGGCGGCTGCATTCGAGGAATGCAGGAGCAACAAATCAAAGGAATACCAATTCATCGACGACTGTCTGCGTATGCCATAAATATGCATCAGTGGCAGGACTCGTTCCCCGTGCCCCCTCCCCCCTTCGTTATAAGGCCTCCGCCGCCCCCCTTTGCAGGCATTATAATTTAAATGGACTTTGGAAAAAGCAATTATGTGAAATTAAATTTTGTGTGTGTGAGCGTGTGTGCGTGTGTGTCGCTTAATCCCGCACTGAGCTGCATGCATAGTGCATGTTATCCTGTTGCAAGGATAACGCCAGTCAGGCCAAAATGGGTGTGGTCAAAGTCCCCCCATTCCGCTCTTGTGCCTGTCTCCACTTTTCTGTCCACTCGATGTAAAAGTGCGTGCCGACACCTCGACTGGACAGGAAGGATAAACAGGAACAGGAACAGGAGCCGAGTGTCTGATGATGGGAAGGGGGGGATAAAGGGGAATGTCATTGCGTAATGCGTGTTGCTTGCACAGGGAAAAATAACTAGGAGCTAGGAATGTATTAAATAGAGTTAAAGAATTTAAAGGAAATATATGTATAAAATGTTTATTGATAGATCTTTAAAGCCTTGCAGGATATTTATTAGTTTGCAAAGAGTTTGGCAATTAAGGGTCTCATTTGCAACCCTATAAAAATAATATATTAAAAAAAATAAAAAGGAAACATTCTTCATTAATAGAATTTTATAGCCTTGGAGGAAAATTTAAATAGTGTTCAAAGTTTTCCTGGAGAAGAAGTCGCTTTCGACCCTATAAATCATAAATATCCTTGATCAGAATCAATCAGTCGAGTAGATTTAGACGTCCGGTTGAAAAATACATTTTTCAAAATTTGTTTAAAATTAAAAAAAAAAAAAAGATAAGGGGTTACCTCGTAAAAATTTTAAAAAATTGACAAACATTTAAATTTGTAATTCCAGTATGCAGATTATTATTATTAGTATTATTAACCTAAGAAGAACTAGCATAGGAAAGCTTTCCGAATTTAAATTAATGCAGTTTTGGGTTAGTTATATTTTTCAATTTTGATGTATTATGTATGTATTATGACATTTTTTAGCCTTGATTAATCAAAGAAAAAAGTCATATAATAATATCGACATAAAATATATAACTTTCAATTAATTAAAGAAAATTATTTACATTCCTTTTCCCCTTGTGTATTCATATGTTTGTTGAGCACTTTTCATATGAATATGAATTGCTTGCGGTTGGATCAAGTGGCACGCGAAATGCACTCAAAGTGCATTCAAACACACTCGCCACACACTCACACACAGAGTCAGAGACACAAAAGCGAGTCGCAGACAGAATGCAGACTTTATTTGTGCTCGGGGATTCATTTATAGAGGTGGGTTTATTATTATTTTAGCACTGATTACCAGTTCCAATCCCCTCCTCCCTCATATATATGATTTATTGTGGGAATAAAGCTAAACAAAAGATTTCGCATCGACTGTTTCTGACATAAATAAATGCCACAAAGAACAGCAGGAGAGCTCAGGTTGTCTCAATAAATACGGATTAATAACTGAAATAAAGCTTGGTAAAATATTTATAAAATTATAATTGAAATCAGTCTTTCCCCCATCTTCTTCTTCTTTTTATAATAAAAACACTCTTTCACGTTTCAATTTTTGAAATAAATTTGTTTATTATTGTTGCTTGACTTTCATATTGTTTTTTGTTTCTTTTTTCGACTTCATTAAGTCTATGTTTCCTCCGCTTTTTCAGTTAGTTTTTTGTTTGCGATTATTTAAAATAAATTTTCACTTACACACTAAATAATGGGCCTTGTTCATTTTCAAAACGAAAATTGTCAAAATGAGAAATATACTAGGTTTTCACAGACCACTCCTGCTCTGCTCTGCCTCCGGCTTAATATTCCGCATATATTTATATTGTATACATAGAAATTGTTATTAATTTGCATAAGTGGCATTTAGGAACACAAAAATCTTATAAAGTATTTCTTCATATCCATATTTATTGGATATATTCTGTCACTTTTTCCGCCGTTGCTTGTGAGTGGGAATGAAATATGTGAGTGTGTTTGAGGAAATTATTAATTGTGACTTGAAATGTTCAAAACTTTAAATGGTAATATTTTGGTTTACTTTCGTTTTTTAGTGAATTCTATAAAATGGAGATTTAAAACTTGGGCTTAATTGGTTTTAAGTGAAATTTTTTGTTATTTTTAATGGCAATTTATTGCCATCGGATGTTCTTGCTTATTTAAATTTAGCTAAAACTTTTGCGAGTAACTTTTTCTGGGGCTTTATTCTGTACAAAACTTAGTAACTAAAAAAATGGAATATTATTTTATAATTTCTGCCTGTTCTGTTTTTTATTTCGTAATGCTTAGTGATTATTTATTAGTAGTATCTCAATTGTTTTAGGCCATTTGTTTTGCTGTTTGTTTTTTGGTGTTTTATTACTTGTTTTTTATTTTTTAATAAATTCTCTTGGGATCTGGTTTAATTTTTTTAGTTGTATTCAATTCATGAAACTTGTTGTGTGTACATTTATATAAGTATTTATATATGTACATTTCGCAGTCAGACATGCGAAAATATTATTTATCCATGTATATTTTGTTTATTGTTTGCTTAATGAAAAAAAATATATACATGTATGTGGAAAATAATAATAATGTTCCCTTTCCTGCTGCCGCTGCTGTATTTTTTTGCTTCATTTTCAATCAATACACTGCCGTTGTTCCTATTTGCTCTTTTGTTGTTTTTAATGGCATGCCATTAAATAATTTCATTAAATGCTTTGTATGACCAACGGACAACGAACAACATTTCAGTAAAATATAAAAAACAAGAATGAAAGACAGCCTGAAAATATGCTCCATTGATTGTTTGTTTCGGTTTTTATTTCGCATTTCCTGACAGTTTCTTTAACCAATTGATGCGGCAAATAACAAATTAAAAATGCATAAATAGCGAGTTTACTTTAGGAATTAACGAGGAAGGAAACAATGGTTTAAAAAGAGTAAATTCTAATGAAATTAATTTAATTTTTTGCTAAATTTATGGGGAATATAAATGTATTTAAATTATTCTGGGAATGTGTTAAAAAAATAGCTCAACATAGTGCCAGAGTCGTTGTAAATTGTAATTGCTTTCCGAAACTGTCCATAAATCCCTACTTTTTATGCTGAACATTACTGGCGTTATTTAAATGAAAAAATATGAGAGCATTAAGCCTGAAACTGCGTTGAATTCGTATTCGTATTCGTATTCATATATTTTCCCCCCATTTTGGGCTTCGTTTGGGAGCTTAATTGTTATCAACGGCAGCCTCATCGGCGGCTCATCATTATCGCATTGCCATAACAGAGTCAGAAATGTGTCAGGGAGTTGGGTATGATTTACTATAATTTTATTTTCAATTCGTTGAGTGTCAGCTATTAATATTATTATTTTTATTCATATATATATAGTTCTCTCCCTTCTGTGAGTGTGTGTTTTCATCGCAGCTATTATTATGACTTTTTATTGTTTGCAGCATTATTTTTCACGCGGTCTCTGTGGGTGCGAATTTTCTGTTCTGTACTGTTCGTCCTTTTTGCTCCTTTTTGATGTTTATCATACAATTTCCTTACATGCTAATTAATTTTCCTGGCTATCTGATGATGGCATTTGGTGGTGTTTTGAGGAAGTGTCTGTGGAGAGTTGCAAATGATTGGGATACTCTTTCTTAATTTGTTTGATTTTTATTTTTATTCAACATTGGTTTTCTTATATATCTGCTGGTTGGTATTGTAATATTAAATAAATTAGGCAATTAAATATATTATCATATTCGTAACTATGTACAGGCCCCTATATTATTTATATATATATAAAAACCGTTTAGTCATTTTTTACAATATTTAAATTATTTAAATCTCAAGGATACCTTGGGGAATATTTACATGGGTTTATCAATTTGCTTTTTTAAATTTATTTCAAGAACTAAAAGTATCAGTCTGTTTGAACCATCCCAAAAAGTATGCTAACTCTCTTCGTATTCCCATTAATGTTATAGTTAATTTATAGTTTTATGCTTTAGGTTTTTCCCTTTTAAGTTTTATAAATTCACTGGTTGCGCAGTCTGTCTCCTGCTGGTTTTGTTTCGTTACTCCTCGAACCTGGACTCAACCCCGTTACGCCCACAGGTTCTTCTGCTGATCCAAATCCTCATCCTCATCGTCATCGTTGAGACTCAAATTGGACTCGTAGTGTGTGAGCTCCGGCTGGCGACTGTTGTTGCTGCTGCTGCTCATGGTCACACTGCTCTGGGTGCCACTCTCCAGCAGGTTGACCCCAATGGAACCACCTCCTCCGCCGCAGTTGCAAAGGAGGTCATCGTCGCCGTTGCACGTGCACGACTTCTTGCAATTGTAGGCCCCGGCCACAGCGCCTCCAGGTGCCACAAAGTTGGAGCTGAAGCTGGAGGGCAACCCGGAGGCGGCACTCTTCACCAGCTGCGATCGCTTGGCAGTGCCACTGCCCAGATTGATGCACTCACAGTTGGCAGCATTATTCCTGATCTGCTGCTGTTTGGCATAGTCCACACTATCGTAGGCAGGCGCTGCACCACCCACACTGGGCAGGTAACTGGGCACCGCGTACTCATGCTGGCTCCTCCTCTGACTGGCCTGATGGCCACCACCACCCAAGGCAGAGGCATGCTGATGCTGCTGCTGCTGATGATGGTGATGATGATGCTGATGCTCCAGCGTCTTGGCCATTCCAGCCACACTCAGCTCTCGCTGCTGCTTCTTGGACAGCTGATTCATGGTGTTGAACTTGCAGGCCGCTGCTGCCGCCGAAGCCGATGTGGGAATGGCCTTGTAGCCACGTCCTCCCGTGGCACCACACTCATTGATAGTGGCATAATTGTTGCCCCCACAGTCCGCATAGCGGGCAGAGGGCGGTGGTATAACTCCACCATTTGTGCCCTGATACTCATGGCTTGTGGCATACATATTCACCGAGGGAGTGCGTCCCGAGAGGCACCCAGCGACCACTCGCTTGTTGTTATTGCTCCGGGCATTGGGCAGGGGCAGAGCCAGGCGCAGCTTTTGCCAGAATTTCTTGTCATCCCACTCAATGCAGGTGCTCGTTCGCAGATAGTGCCCCATGTCCATGTCAATGTCGCGTTGCGGCAAATCCCCGTAAAGGATAAACACCACGCGCTTCCTGCGCTTCACTAGCTCGTGCAGAGCACTCTTGTACTCGAACCTGCTCCACTCGTTGTAAAGGAAGTTCTTGGACAGAACCAGCACAAACTGCTTGGCACTCTCAGCGGCCTCTATAAGGGCATCCGTGATGTAGGCATTGGTGTTTACATCCCTATAGTGCAGGCACAGTCGATAGCCAATGTCATTCTCCAGGGTCTGGGCTAGGATTTGGTTTACAAAATGCTCATCCTGCAGGCTGTACGCAAAGTAGGCATCATTGGGTCGCTCCTTATCCAGTTGGTCAACAAAACGCGGTGTCTTGTAGCAAAAGTTCATCAGGCAGCTTGTGGAGTGAGCCCACATCTTCAGCTCATGGCGATAGCAAAACAATCCAAAGATCAGGCCAAAGAAGGCCACAAAGGCACAGGTGGCCACCAGGAGGAGCGGGAGCAGTCCCTCAATCTCATTGGTGTGCATATAGTGAGCCACGCCATCGCGCAGGGTGCACTTGGTGCCATTCTTCTCTCTCAGCACACTGGTGGCATTGTTGTAGATGCAACTAACCCGCGGGGCATCCACTATCTTCTCAGAGCTCTGTGCTAGGTAATTCCGGAACCTGGCCAAGTAGCCACACTCACAGCTCCATTGGTTATCCGCCAGGCTAATCTCCACCAGATAGGGATTGGCACTCAGCTGCCAGACCTCAAAGTGCATCAAACGATTGCCATCGAGTCGCAGGACCTCCAGTTTCCTCAGCATTTGGAAGCTGCCATTGGCAATGCTGGCTATCCTGTTGGATTGCAGGTACAGCTCTCGCAGATTCTCCAGATTATGGAACTCATTGCCCTCCAGGCTGACTATGTGGTTATCCTCCAAATGCAGGATCAACAGGCGCTTCAGTCCACTAAATGTGGTGTTGTATATGTGGGCCACATTGGAGTTGTTGGCATAAAGAACAGCCAGGTTCTTGCGACCCAGAAAGGAGTGCCCCGCCAACTCCACAAAGTTATTCCCATCAATATACAGCTCAGTGGTGTCCATGGGCACGCGACGTGGCATCTCAGAGTAACCGGCACCAGAGCATTCCACAATATTCGTGGACCAGGTTTGGTCATGGAAGCAGGTGCAATTCGTGGGGCAGGTCATCTCACAGTCGCAGGCATCAAACTCACAGCAGTGACAAACCGCAAAGCAATGGGTCTTGTAGGTGCACAGAAAATGCTTGGGCTCCGCCTCAATCAGGGGGATATAAGCGCGTTCTCTGTTGTTTAGCAACTTGCAGTATATAGTCTCCAGATCCATTATCCTAGGATACTGCCGGGAAGTAATATGGTTCACATTGTTGATTTTCTGCAGCCAATCAATGTTGCAATCGCAGGTGAAGGGATTGCCACCAATGTAGAACTCGGGCAGGGGACGATGTTCACCCACAGGCAGGATCCTCAGTGATTTGATGTCCAGTGTGGTTATTTGATTCGCATAGAGATCCACTCGGGTTAGGTTGGTTTTGTGCATGAAGGTATCAGGATCCACGGTTGTAATAAGGTTGTCATTCAGGAACAGCAGCTCTATGGAGTTGGGTATGGAGCCGGGTCCTATGCGCTGGATTTGATTGAAGCTTACATCCAAAGTCTGCAGTTTCAATTCAGCATCCAAACCGAATCTATTGGACAGGGAACTTAGGCGATTCTTGTGCAAATCCAGCCACTGCAAAGTGGCGGGAACATGTCCATAGTCGAAGCTCTCCAAACGATTGTCGGAGATATTCAACCAGAGCAGGGAGGGCATGTTGCTGAACAAACCATTAATGTCATTCAAGTCATTTCCATCCAATCGAATGGCTTGAATACTCGAAGTCATCTCGAAGGCACCAGGTTCCACAACAGCTATGCGATTCCTGGCCAGATTCAGGATCTGCAGACTGGGCAGATCCCTGAAAGTGTTCATTGTGATATTCTCCAGATAGTTGCCAATCAGTCTGAGACCATAGAGATTTCCCAGTCCCTTGAAGGCACTATCCTCCATCACGGTAATCATATTCTCGCCCAGATCCACCGTCCTCAGATGTCGCATGTTCCTCAGAGCCAAAGGCACTGTCTTCAGCTGATTACCATTCAGATTGAGATCCTGCAGGGCACTGCAATTGCGGAAGGCATCAGGATGCACGCCAATCAGCGCATTGTTGTCCAGCGAAAGTAGCGAAAGGACATACAGGCCATTCAGAGCATAAGCATCCAAATACTTCAATTTGTTGTGGGACAGGAGCAGAGTATGCAGGTTGTTCATCGGGGCAAAGGTATCGGCTGCTATATTCTCCAGTTGATTGTGTCGCAAATTCAGAATCTGCAGAGTGTACAAATCACTAAAAATCTCCGGCTCCAGTTTGGTCAGTTTGTTGTGCGATAAGTTCAGCAGAACCAGACGTATGAGACCCACAAAGGTGTTCTTGTCAATCCACGTAGAGGTTATCTGGTTCATTGACAGATCCAGGGCCTGCAACTGGTCCAGGTTCGAGAAGAGCTGCGGATTCAGGACACTAATCGAGTTGTTCTGCAGATACACCTCCTGAATGACCTTGGCCTGCTCAGCAAATAGCTCCGTGGGCAAGGCCACAATTTTATTGGAGCTCAGATTCAGGATTTGCAGATTCTTTAAACCACTGAGTGCCTTGTCTGCTATCATCGAAATGCCATTGTTATTCACCGACAGGACTCGCAGGCGCCTTAGAGTGCCAAATCCATTGGCAGGCAAAACAACAAAGTCATTGTGGCTCACATCCAGATATTCCAAATCCAAGGAACAACTGCTGATGCTACTGCTGCCACCAGTTTTCTTTGCCGATTCTGTGGTGGAACTAGACTCAGTGGAGCCACTCGGTGAAGCCTCCTTGCTGCGATCCCGAAAGCCCAGCTCGTTGACATCCTGCAGGCGATTCTCACTCATATTCAATGCCGAAAGCTCCGACAGAGTGCAAAAGATGTTGTCCGGCAGTGACCAGATATTGTTGGAACTCAAATCCAGCCGCTCCAGCCTCCTGGTCACCGAAAAGGCATCCGCTTCAATCTCAAAGTTAAGAGCTGGCCACAGGATATTATGAGTGCGCAATGTGAGATTCCTCAACTGCTCGAGGCCATCCAGGACCTGGCGACCCATACGTCCCAGTTTGCAGTACTGAATGGACAGCTGCTGGAGCCTGGCCAAGTGGGCAAAGGACTGTGCCTCCAGCCGGCTCTTGGCCATAATCTCATCGTTGCAAAGGATATGCAGGGCCACCGTATGCTCCGCGGGAATCACGCTAAAGTTTGTGGTATCAAACTCGCTGTTCACCGTTCGCAGATTGCAGGTGAGCGCAATTTCCGGTTGATCCAGACCCGCAGCCGGCATAAAGTGACAGTCATCGGGGGCATCATACAGCGACTGATCCCCGCCAGAACCGGAGCTCAAAGGACGCAGGGTCCTCGCCGGTGTGGCCGGTTGCATCAATTGGGTATTGGAGACACCGGCCTCGCCCATTATGGCATTGGAGTGTGACTGCTGCTGGTGTTTGCTGGACAAGGACTCCGTGGTGTGTTGCTGCTGCTGCTGCTGCTGCTGATCCTGGGCCAGGACAGCGGGCAGGACAAGAAGGAGTAGTAGCGTATAGTAGATCATATTGGCCAGTCGAACTCTTTGGACCAGAAAAGGTGCAGAGGAGGGAAGTTGTTGTGGGATTGTGGGAGAAACGAAAAGAAAATCAATTCCACTGGCTGGCAAAGGAAAAGTCTGCGCACATATTTTCGGCTTGTGCTCCAGGCTTTAGATTTTTTTCCCAAATAAATTTTCTTTCGTTAGTTAATTATGTTCGCCTTTCTCTCTCTCTCTCTCTCTTGTTACACCCGGCACATTTTATAGCACTTTTTTTTTGTGATGTGGTGTAGGTTTTAATATTTAAATTTTTCCTATTTATCGTTTTTTGGTTTTTCGTTCGTTTCGAAACTTGCGCGTCGCGTTTGGTAGGAACCTCTGATGAATTTTAATTTCGAATTCTATTATCACTGTGTTTTTTATTTTTTTTCGGCTGAACCCAATTTCTTGTGTGTTTTCTTTCTTTTTTTTCTGTGGGACTCGAGAGTGTTGCAGCCCCGTTTTTATCCGGTTTTTGTAATGTAACGCGCACGTTGGCTGATTTTCGACTGACTGCCGCAACGTGCGCAACTTCTCTTTTAAATAGAGAACACGAGCGGTCGAGCCGAAGGCGGGCTGGGAGCCTTTCGGGCTCTGCACAGTCGGGAAAACTCTCCAGAAAGAGAGAGCGGAAACTCTCTCTCACACAGAGAGCGTGTCGAAAGGGAAATTCGCTCTGCCTGAATGAGGTGATGCTGGGAAACTCTTATGCTCTCTCTCTCACATCTAATCGCATCAAACAGCTGGCGTTTGGTTCGTATTTTCTTTTATTTTTTTCGGGTTCGTCCTTCCTTCGTATATCCTTTTATTTTTTTGCCGCCCGAATCGGAGATATAGCCGCCGCCGCCACCCCCCGCAGCAACTTCGTTTGCCTGTCTCTGTTTTGATAATGAAAATATATGATGTGCATGGGCCAGCGCCAATCTTCATACAAACGTAATTTATTTTTATGCCGTGTGTGTGTGTTGAGGAGGTCCTTTTTGCCATTTTCCGCCTCTCTCTGTCGGTTTCTCTCTCCGTTTGCTCCTTTGGCAGCGCATGAAAATAATAATTCCTTACATTCCATTAAATTACAATAATAATTTTAATTAAACTGTTTTGTTTGCGCCTCATGTAGCAATTTTTGTGGTTTCATGACTTCTTTTCTTTTTGTTGGCCAAAAAACTGTCTCTGCCATCAGGTTAATGATAATGATTATGGATCCGCATTATAGGGGGAGGACTTTGGGAAAGGTCCTGTGAGTGCTCTTCAGTGTTTGTGGATTTAGGCTGATTTGCTTTTGTAGTAAGGCAAGTTTTGGGTTACTTTCATGTACTAAATATAAATATTTACATAACCAAATTCCTATGGTATACTTTATTAAAAGATTAAATAAATATATATTTCAAGAAATATTTAAATATATAATAAACTGTATAAATATTTCATTACAAATAGATATTGTTCATTAGGTTCTCAGAGTCTTTATGCCTAAGGACACTTTACCTGCTGTTCATGCCTTAAGATATATCAGAAATTCCTCAAAAGAAAATCATCCATCAAAAATATATATTTTCCAAGGGTTAATTTATAATGCTTTCCTATTCCTTTTGTTCCTGATTTTTTTGTTAACCTCTGCCCTGCTTTATCCGCTTTGTTTAATATATTTTTTGGTTTGAAAAGCAAATATATATATTGATGGATCACTGCTGTGAAAATTGAAAAGCGATTGCCTTGATGAAAACACTCCGTCTTTCACGACTAATTCCCAAGAAAAACAGCTGCCCTGGGGCACAAGGCACTTTTAACTATGAGTAATTTTCCTTAGCTGACTTGGAAAGTTTACCCATATCCATGGGTATATATAAATATATACATATGTATGTGGCTACGGATATTTTTGTCGCCCAACGAAAGCAAACACAAAAACATTTCGAGCAAATTGCGTCAGCCACCCACATTCGTGCTGGGCTAATGATTTGCCTAATGTTTCTAACAATTATGTGGCTTGGCCACACAAAAGAATATATTATGTAAGTTATTAAAATTATATCACCAGCAGCAGCAGTAGCGCCACGAACAGCAGCCAAGTCTAATAAGCCTCCTGCACAGAAGGAAAATGTTTTAATATTTGTTTAGTAATAAAAAAATAGAGAGTATGTTACTTGTGTAGAAATATTAGACCAGAAAATGGGGAAATATAAGATAGATATAAAATATGTATAGAAAATCAAGCTGTTCTTAAAGTATTCTAGTTTTTACCTCAAGCTCAAGGTGAATTTTAAAAGAATTATCAGAAGCAATTTTGAAAAACATGTCTTATTATTATTCTATAAATTCCACTTGATATTAAAAAGGATTAATATGCGTCCAGTGTTATTTTAAGAATAATATATAAATTTTCTCCGAGTGTGCCCCTCATTTTCCTCACCTTCAGGCTTTCGCAGGCTCTTTCAAATGTAAATGGCGGCAAGGACGAGGTTTTTGTGGCTCGCTTTTCCTTTGTGTGGTGGCAGAGCGGCACATGCAACCGAGGAGGAATATTTCTTTGCCGGTCTTATTCTTTCTTCTTTTTTTTGGTGGTTATCAATTTGGTGAACGCTTCTGGCTTTTGTCCATGGTCCTGGTCGCAGCTCCTTTATTTATGTGCTCCATAACGAAGGTTTCTTTCGCTCTCTTTTTTTTGGTCACACGAATGACAAGATTTTCATCAACGTCATTAATATTAACTTTTGCAATAATTCTCGAGCTGTGGAAAATTATGAGAAATGACCCACAAGATAAAATGGGAGTCTGGGCGAAGTCCACTTTCGACAAAGCCATAACTCTCAGGCTTGAAGATTGGATTGGTGTTGCTGGTGGATATATGGTGGAAGAGGATGTCCTTGCCATGGTATTAGCCTGACGCCTGGACGGCTTTCAAGTCAATCTTAATTGTGGCTCTATGCTCTGGACTCGGCCTAATGACAGCATTTCGGATTACTTTCACTCAAAGCCAACCGGGGGAGAGAGAGCCAGGACACAAAAAAAAAAATAGAAAAGCGGTTGCATATTTTATGGCGCCCAAGCAGCTTTACGGGAGCACTGAGAGAAATAGCTGGTACTTAAATGAATCAATTTGTAGTGGAAATTACAAAAAATGAACTGTGAATTTACTAGCAAATATTTATATTTTTTGACTAATATTTTTTATAGCAAATAAACATGGAAATGAACTTGTAAATCTTTAGTTGAATTCATACTTTCTCCTTATATTCCTCTCAATGTATTCAAAGTTGTGGCTTGGGGGCATCTCCCTATCGTTCTTTCTCCTTCTTTCCAGGACAAAAATCACAATTAAATGTAACAATTGCGTCTCTGGGGGACGCGCAGGTCTCAGTCTCGGTAACAAGAGCATCAGGACTCGGTTGCCTCCTGTCAGTTGCTTGTCCGATGCCAGCTTAAATTGCCCATACACGTCACACAGTGGCCCAACCTGTGTCCTTCCCAGTAGACAATCACATTGCCATCCTTCTTATAACCCACCCACAGAAATCAGACATCTTCCCCCTGTATCCTTTTTTCGTGGGGGGAGGTGCAGCTTTGGCTCGTCCTCGTTTGTCGTTTCTCTTTCACTCTGTTTGCGTTTATTAATTGTTGCCTTTATTTTGGCCTCATTTTATTTGATTTGGTTTTCTCCTTCGACTTTTCCTTTGCCTCTTCCCCGAGCCAGTCTTTATTTTTCCAGCTTTCCTTTTGTTTTCACTGGCAGGAGCTATAAAGCCAAACCTAATTGACTTATCTTGCCATGGGTTTGCTAATTTCTCGGCCATTGTGTCTCTCGCAGTCGTGGAGCTTCTTTGGGCCATAAAAATGGATGGCCAAGATAGCCGAGGATAAGTCAGTCAGTGAGGCATTTCGGGCAGCTCAGACAGGCGGATAGGAATCTTCAGCGTACTAATTAGCAATTGACATGAATTGCTCATTAGCAGCAAACTAAAGCTAAAAATTTTCCTAGGCTATCTGTCCCAAACTAACAAGTCCGAGTATTCGTATCCGAAAGATAACAGACAGGATAAAAAGTGTCTGTCATTTAGTAGGGGGAGGGATGGATGCTGATACCCTTAATCTCTAATACACTTGTAAAAAATGTCTAATAGAATATACTGACACTTGGCTGACACACATCAAGAAGAAGCTGTCAACTGCCTGGAGATTTAAGAAGCAAAGCAATCAAAAAGTTCAACAAATTGAAATTATAGTAATAATATTTTAAAATGATAATATTTTAAAATAAGAAAAGCTTATTTAATTAGGGAAAATAAATACAAGTTCTTAGATTTTTGTACTATAAAATCAAATTCCTTCATTAAAAAATCAAGTTCTCCAATAAAGTTCTTCAATTTGCACTAGTTGAACCTATAAAATCGTGGTAAAAAATATTTAATAAACGGAAATTCCTCAACTAACCCAATTTTTATTGGAAAAATATCTATCCACATGCCAGGGACCAAGAGGAAACTGCGGTTTACCCTTCCTTCCCCCACCCTCAAAATATATATTGCAACAAATCTTGAATGTAGCCTGACCAAAGTCCATAATGACAGTTGTGCCCAAAGAAAATTGCACAAGCCAAGGACGACGAGTCGAAAAAAGAGGAAGTGTAGAGGGGAAAAAAGCAGTAGCTGAAATTGCAGCAGTTGGGTTTCTGAGCCAAGTAATTGCCCGGTCGACCTTCAAGACGGTCCACAGCCAGTCGAGTCCAGTCCAGTTCAGTTCAGTTCACATAAAAGTCCTGGCCACAGTTCTGTGGGTTATGAAAAGGTGGCAGCCGGAAATCGAACATGTGGCCTTTAGTTGAAAAATCGGTAGGGCGAGGAGGGGTTGACATTTAATTTATAAGGAACGACAGGCTGGCTGCCTGACTGGGTGGCTCACCTTGGGTGGGAAGTAAAGATTGTGGACAACGAGATGAAGTCCTTCGCCCACCAATTTAGTTGTCAAAATACGCCGAAATGTAAACAATCGATGGATGGCACAAAAAATACGAGAAAAATGCAACCAACTGAGCTGACTTGACATTTACCTACATGGAAGTGCTTCCTGCTTCCGCTCCAGCAGAAAAATGGAAAAGTAAAGGAAAAATAAAATAAAAAGGACAATGCACAAGGCTCATAAAGACATTTGGGAATCGGCTAGCGAGCTGACAAACAAATTTTTTATTTCCTTTTCCTCAGGCAAAAAAAAAAGAAAGAAAGAAACAAGATGAATTGCCGATGGCTGTAAAA